ATTTTAACACAAGGTTTATAACCCCTAAAGGAAGGTTGGGATTGATTTTGGGGGTTATGGTCCCAACTGTTTAGGAATTAGGGGCCAAAAGAGGGCTCAAATAAGCATTTTTGTAGTTTCCAGACAGTAACTTGTGTTAAAGTGTATTAATCTCTCTGAAATTATATCACAAGTTTCCATACTACAAAGGGATGGTTAGGATTGACTTTGGGGGGTTATGGCTCAAACCATTTAGGAATTATGGGCAAATAAAGGGGAAAAACAAGGGTTTTTCCTGGTTAAAGGACAATTGAGACAATTTAAAAGCAGTGTAAGGGAGGTAATCCAAATCAATTTAAATAACAATGTTTGACTACCTCCCTTACACTGCTTGTAAATTATGTATTAAGAAATGATGATTGTCTGAGATACTGACCATAACTTGAGGGAAAGAATTAATTTTTGGAATAAGGGAAAGGGGGGAGGTGAAGAAAATTGGAGGGGGACAATTTTTCTCATTTCAAATTTCAGAAATTAAAAGAAAATTTCTTCAAATATTTTTTTCTGGGGGGTTAATATTCAACAGCATAGTGTATTGCACAAACGCAAAAAAACTGGGTAAATTTTTTTGTTGGGGGGGCGGGGGCGGGGGGGGGGTCAATTCGCATAGTGTATTGCACAAAAGCAAAAAATTGAATATAAATTCAAATCATATAACCAATTTGAAGTTCTTTGACTACAGTTATTCTGTGTCAGAAACCTATTATGTGTCAAAAATTTAATTACAATCCAAATTCAGACCTGTATCAAGCATGAATATTGTGTCCATTTTGGCCCCAACTTTTCAGGGTTGGACATCTGCGGTCGTATACAGCTGCGCTCAGCGAAGCAATTTATTATCTTTCTATATTTGTCTTGAAAAAAGTCTTGTAAAGGAGCCCATTGGTTTATAACTCGTTGAAGGCACACGCCCAAGGAGAGCCAACGAGTGGAAACATGTTTCAGGATACCCTGAACTTCCTTGTCGTGTAAACCCTGAAAGTCCTTTAGATCATGTTTTCTATTTGCGCTTTTGCCTAAATAAAAATAAATGTCGACAAGAAGATCATCCATAGACACTGGTAAACTTTTACCTCCCTTTTCAGCTGCTAGGTTTATAAGATGGTTTGCACACCCTGAAAAACAGTAAACAAATATTAAAATGCTTATTTGAGTGAGTAATATTGCATTTAGTTTTTCCTCTTTTATCATACATGTCTGAATATGAATTTTATATACTTTTTAAAAAGTCTCTACATGCCCCAGTTAGTATTTATTGACCTGAATGTCCATGGCATGCCCTTTTGCTAAACATCTGAAGAGCCTAGAGTCGAATAATGTATCATGTGTGAAGAAATTAATTCACTTAAATATCTTTGATGACATTTATCAGCTATCTGATATATTTTAGAATATCTAAACATGCTAAATGATTGAGCATACTTCTAGCGTACCTGATGAAGGTCAATCCAGAAAAGCGCGTTGTACGCAATAAACTAACTTCTGTAGTGAATTTACATCAATCTACTCTTTTGGACGTTTGATATGTGGGATGTATTTTGAACATTTCCCATATTCCGTCTTGTTTTAATATGTACATGTAGGCATTTTGTTTTATGACAGTACAATTTTATTTCATGATTATGGATATCTTACCAACAAAGTAAACATCTTCATTCTTTTTCTGGACATATGCAATCACACCCTTTTTACATCTACAATTTTGCCAAGATATGTTTCTTTTTTCAAATTCTGCATTTATTGCACTGAAATAAATATTTTTTTTATATAATATCTTGAAAATCAAAGATTAATCATTATTCAAGGATTAACTGTTATAAATTTTGCGTTAAAGTTAAATGTTGAAAAATATCAAGTCCGCTTTTTTTTAAATTTTAATGATGTACATAATGCTGCAAAACAAGAGAAAGAACTATAACTGTTATCCTGATCACTAAAGATATCCCCAGCCCCCGCCCCCTTTTTCATATTTCAATTTTCTCAAGTAACAGAAGTTAGAATGAATTAATATTTCAAAAACAAAAACACATGGTAAGCAACCTTTAGGTAAAGTTTCATTGAAATTCATTTAACAGTTTAGGAGGAGTTGTGCTTATCATATTGCCATATAATGATATATTGCAATATTAAACTAAGTAAATTTGATTATCTCCCCTTTAACATTTAGGACCTGGTTTATCTTCCTTTTAGCACATCCTCAGGTAGTGTACTACAACTGTGCAAAGTTTCATCAATATCCATCAAGCCGTTTAGAAGGCGATGTGCTTACTATACAATGTACATGGACAGACAGATAGACGGGGGGATTCCTATATACCCCAAAACTTTGTTTGCTGGGGTATAATAAACAATGCCCTTCATGTATGTATTATATATCTAAACTAAAAGATAACAAAAAACAAACAAAGGATATAAAAAGAAGTAAAACTTAATAATAGTGTGTATGATACATTTGTAATAATAATAATGTAATGTGTAAAGATTCCTCACCCTTTTGCATTGATATGATTCGCTTCATGATCATCCATGAGACAATATAATAATCAAATAAACTAAAACAAAAACAAAATTATAAAAACAAGGAAAACAAAAGGTTGCTTGTGTTGTCGTGCTAAGACTACCTGCACTTGTAATATTCAAATAATTGGCAAACAGGAAGTAGGTATTGGACAGACCCAAAAAGTGACTAAACATTACAACTCATCACTCTGAAGGTGCTGGAATTTTTCTGAGAAATCTAGATCTGTGACGGAAATATTTTTGGGCTGAACGAAATAACTAGTTGAAATTATAATTAAAATATCTGAATCACTCATTTATCATAGACTTTTTAGTTGTTGTGTGTATTTTGATATATATATATCATTTCATTGCTTGTTTGTGGCGATGGTCCATTTTCTTTGATTATCTTGGTCCTTCAATTTCTGTTATGTCTTCTTAAGATTTTGTGAAAATAAATGTAGCTTGTTAGGTAAAACTTTATGATGATACAACAAATCAAAGTTTACAGCCTGACAAAACTGAAAGTTTGAATGTCAATGACTTTACTATAAACTGCTTTATAAATTATACAATGTACTTACTGGAGTATATTTTCTCCAGAGGGAACATGGAGCTCTGGTATTGTCAAACTGTTTGTAAGAATTTTGCCGCCTTTGGAATCATTATAGCGAACAACAATTGGATATAACTTTTTGTGAGAAATATCATTTGAACCATCTGTCCCAACACTGAATGGATTGTTCTTCAAGATGGGGGTAATGTTTTGTTCATCATCATTTTTGGATAAAGAGTGTACTATTGCTGTTGTTTTTGTCCGTCCACATCCAATTTTTTGCAATATTGGAATCTGGAAATGTGTCTGAACATTTTTCCTGCATGGTCTGTCACTGACAGGGGAAGATTGTTTTGAATAAAAAATTTGGTGAATGTCACCTCAGATTTGATAACAGATGTATCACCTTCGAAGGGCAAATGAGCTTGTAATCTTCTGATTAGTGTGTGCCAACTTTGAAAGTTCCAAGTGTTTTTTTGGCTTTGACAGGCTTTTTTTTTTTTATTTTTTAAAGGATATATTTCATTACATTACATTGTGTAGATAAAATTGTTGACATTGATAGATAAGTTGCAGATCTATATTAGTTTGTGACAAATGAAAGAAAAAATATTGTTTGTTATTCTGTATAAACTTATTTTCTGAATGCTATATATATTTTTTTTTGATGAAGCAAACTCCTTTAAAAATTAAGCTTATCAATTGTATTTATCAATGTAAGAAATTGTTCTCGCACACATTTCTTTTTTGTACCACATCCTTGCAGATTTTATCCTAAAGACTTGGAGATTCTTATTCCAGTATGGTTTGTATATTGATTTTCCTTGCGCATTCCTGGAATGATCTGCTGTTGATTTTCACCTATTTTGGATTTCACTTCATCAGAAATATTTCAACAAAACAAGAATAGTCTTCATCACCTCCTGTCTGTCGGCTAATTTATTATCAGTATTTTGAATAAATTATTCAATCTTGCACCACATCATTTAAAAGTTTGTTTGGTAAGAATCTTGATCTCCGTTTAGATGGAAGTTTTTGTATATTGGAGTAAGAAGCACACTGTGTTTTATCTTGTTGGTCAGTTGATTCAAGTGAAAGGAACAGTAAGTGCCGAATGGTCAGGTATTTATCTAATTCGTTGGTAATATCAGACATAATTCTAATATCAAAGTCAGTGCACATATGAATGTTTTCATGGGTTGCTAATTTGAAGTCTACAACTGATTTAACCTGTTTTCAATATACATGTGAAATCTTGTTTTCATTTTCCATTTAGCATGCACAAATTACAATTGACTAGAAAATCTTTTAAAAAATCACCTTTTGCATTTGAACTATAATCAATCACCTCTCTTGGTATTACATCATCAACTCCTTCAATGAAATCGGAAATGTCTGAGTATCTCAGGCTGAAAATGAGTTGAAAGTATCTGGAGCTGAAATTTATTATTTTCACTTACATCATATGATGATTAACCATAACATTTGCATGAATAAACTTTAACATATATATTACTCCTATTAATATTGACGCAAAAGGTCGCTGAAAAACGGGTTCTGACAAATGACAAGATTTTTTAGGTCCATATAGTGGTATCAGTAGCAAAAATAAATTGTTTAAAGCTTAACCGTAAAGGCCATACCTACCCTCTGACTTTGTTGAAAGTTTTCCTTAACAATCAACATGATTGCTCAAGGTGAACTTTCTTCTGAGGATATTGAGTTTTACTATCCATGTTTTCAGCAAATATTTTAGAAAGGCTATGAAAGATGTTTGTGTTTGGTTCAGATAGCTAATTATTCTGGTGCAATGTGTAGTAAGGCAAACTATCATAATATGAAGAATAAAATATGTTAATAATATAAAAAATCACAAACTTTTTAAACAATTGTTTACTTTTTACAGGCAGTTGATGTTTAACCAGAGACAAGTTTTACTGGAACAATTAAAGTCTGAGACTGATCCTGCAGTGGCATTACATTTGTCTTCAGTTATTTTACTCCATACATATACACAGAATATTGTCCATATTCCTGGAAAATGTGTTCCTCAACTCATAGTGTTTCTTAAATCATACCTGGAGGCTGATAAATATGATCTACTACATGCACAGCAAGGTATCTATAACTCATTTTATTTCATGGCATGTTATAATGACTGTTTATAGTTGTGAATTATTGTGTGGCTTGACATTGTCCATCTGGAGCCACACATATGATCACTTCAGTCGTCTTGTGGCAGCATCTGTGTCAGACTTTGTTTATACACAACTCCTCGAAAACTAATTGACAGAGTTCAACCAAATTGCATAAATGAATTTTTCTACAGAGCACAAAGATTTGCACCTGGTATTTTGATTTTTTGATGTGAGTGAATTTTTGGGTTTCCAATACCAAAACATGGACTTGGTCATTCCTGGCCACAGTATATCAGTTTGTTAATCCCAACTCCTTCAGATTGAAGTTGTGTGTGAATTTTTACTGCTCTGTTTTAAATTATTTGAAGACATCAGCTGAAAGACATCTTCCTTAGAAATCTCACCCATGTATTTCTAGTCTGCAACATTTATTTTGCTGAAGCGGGACATTGTAGGCAATGTCAGAGCCTTTTTTTAATGCAAATACATATCAGAATATTACTTTCTTTTATTTTTTTACCTTAGAACAATTAAAAAGTTATTTTGAAAATTATAACTTTTTATCTCTACTTCCTTTAAATGCTTAATTATTTTATAACATTTAAATATCAACATTCACATAATGATACATACTGGGAAACAAGTAGCTTGAGAAACGATAAAAATGAATGAATCCAGGAGAAGGGGTATGGAAATGATAAAGTATAACACATTAATATTTCAATGGCTTATTAAGCAATAAAAAAATAAAATTCAATGTTTAATAAATTATTTTCAGTTAGTACTTCACCAAACATATTTTGGAAACTGTTCGATATAAAATATAAAGAAATGTCCCCTAAATACTTAGATTCAGCTGAAAAAAAAGTTTGTAGGCATTATGACCTGAGATTTTTGTCGAGCCTGCGACTTTTGTCGCAGAAAGCTCGACATAGGGATAGTGATCCGGCGGCGTTAGCTATCTTCTTAAAAGCTTCATATTTTAGAAGGTGGAAGACCTGGATGCTTCATACTTTGTATATGGATGCCTCATGTTACGAAGTTTCCGTCAGTCATATGTCCAATGTCCTTGACCTCATTTTCATGGTTCAGTGACTACTTGAAAAAAAAGTTAAGATTTTTTGTAATGTTAAATTCTCTCTTATTATAAGTAATAGGATAACTATATTTGGTATGTGCGTACCTTGCAAGGTCCTCATGCCTGTCATACAGTTTTCACTTGACCTCGACCTCATTTCATGGATCAGTGAACAAGGTTAAGTTTTGGTGGTCAAGTCCATATCTCAGATACTATAAGCAATAGGTCTAGTATATTTGGTGTATGGAATGACTGTAAGGTGTACATGTTCAACTGGCAGGTGTCATCTGACCTTGACCTCATTTTCATGGTTCAGTGGTTATAGTTAAGTTTTTTTGTTTTTGGTCCGTTTTTCTTATACTGTATGCAATAGGTCTACTATATTTGGTGTATGGAATGACTGTAAGGTGTACATGTTCAACTGGCAGGTGTCATCTGACCTTGACCTCATTTTCATGGTTCAGTGGTTATAGTTAAGTTTTTTTGTTTTTGGTCCGTTTTTCTTATACTGTATGCAATAGGTCTACTATATTTGGTGTATGGAATGATTGTAAGGTGTACATGTCCAACTGGCAGGTGTCATCTGACCTTGACCTCATTTTCATGGTTCAGTGGTTATAGTTAAGTTTTTGTGTTTTGGTCTGTTTTTCTTATACTGTATGCAATAGGTCTACTATATATGGTGTATGGAATGATTGTAAGGTGTACATGTCCAACTGGCAGGTGTCATCTGACCTTGACCTCATCTTCATGGTTCAGTGGTTATAGTTAAGTTTTTGTGTTTTGGTCTGTTTTTATACGCCCGTCAATTTTTGACGGGACGTATTATGTTATACAAATGTCCGGTGTCCGTCCGTCTGTCTGTCCGGCGTAAACATGTCGCACCGTAACTTGAGAATGACTTATCCAAATTTCATGAAACTTAATATAGTTGTTTCTTATGATGGTCAAACGATCTGTATACTTTTTGGTGAAAATAAGATTAAAACTTTTTGAGTTACGGGACTTAGTAACTAAAACAGGTGTGTGTTTTTTTTCACATGTCGCGCCGTATCTCAAAAACAATTTATGATTATTGCTTAAAACTTTACACACTTCTTAGTTATATTAATCTTAAGATCTGTATACTTTTTGGTGATGATTCAAAATTTTATTTTAGAGATATTGAGTATTTTGTTAAAAAAGGGGGAGGGGTTTTTCACATGTCGCGCCGTATCTCAAAAACAGTTTATGATTATTGCTTAAAACTTTACACACTTCTTAGTTATATTAATCTAAAGATCTGTATACTTTTTGGTTATGATTCAAAATTTTATTTTTGAGTTATTGATTTTTTTTTTTTTTTTAAAGGGGGGTTTTCACATGTCGCGCCATATCTCAAAAACGATTTATGATTATTGCTTAAAATTTTACACACTTCTTAGTTATATTAATCTAAATATCTGTATACTTTTTGGTTTTGATTCAAAATTTTATTTTAGAGATATTGAGTTTTTTGTAAAAAAAAAGGGGGGGGTTTTCGCATGTCACGCCGTATGTCAGAAACTATTTATGCTTATTGCATAAAAATTCACACACAAGACGACGGGCGTATCATGCGCTCATGGCGCAGCTGTTTATTCTTATACTGTATGCAATAGGTCTACTATATTTGGTGTATGGAATGATTGTAAGGTGTACATGTCTAGCTGGCAGGTGTCATCTCACCTCGACCTCATTTTCATGGTTCAATGGTCAAAGTTAAGTTTTTGAGTTTTGGTCTTTTTTTCTAATACTATATGCAAAAGTTCAACTATATTTGGTGTAGGGAAATATTTTATGATCTATATGTCAGTCACGCAGGTTTTATTTGACCTTGACCTCATTTTCAAGGTTCATTGCTCAGTGTTAAGTTTTTTGTGTTTTGGTCTGTTTTTCTTAAACTATAAGCAATAGGTCAACTATATTTGTTGTATGGAAGAATTGTTAGCTGTACATGCCTGCCTAGCATGGTTTATCTGACCTTGACCTCATTTTCATGGTTCATTGGTCAATGTTTAGTTTACTTGGTTAATGTTAAGTTTATGTGACAGTTGCAATAAAGCTTTATATTTAGGACTATCAACATAATATCAATGATTAGTAAAGAAGGCGAGACATTTCAGCGTGTGCACTCTTGTCTTCTTCAATGCAGGTCATGTCATGACCTGCATTTTCATTTTCATAGGTTGACAGGTATGTGAGTCAGAGGTGTAAACTTTTAGGGTTCAGTCTGTGGTTAATGTTTTTTTTTAAACAACAATAACTTTTTCAAAGCTTACTGGAATTTTATGAAATTTGGATTGAAGCTTTTTTATGAAAAAAAACTCACCAAAGATACCAGGCTTATTATACCCCACGCAACGAAGTTGGGGAGGGTATAATGTTTTTGTCCGTCCGTCCGTCCGTCCGTCAGTCCTGTTTCTTGTCATCGCAACTCCTCTGAAACCACACAACAGAATTTCATGAAACCTTTTTAGATAATAAGGACATACTATGTAGTTGTGCATATCGACAGGAAATTACGATTCAATTTTTTTTCTAGGAGTTACGCCCCTTTGAACTTATTTGCTTCAATGTACTTCTGCAAAAGTTTGTCATCGCAACTCCTCTGAAACCACACAACAGAATTTCATGAAACTTTGTAGATAATAAGGACATACTATGTAGTTGTGCATATCGACAGGAAATTATGATTCAATTTTTTTTCTAGCAATTACGCCCCTTTGAACTTATTTGCTTCAATGTACTACTGCAACAGTTTGTCATCGCAACTCCTCTGAAACCACACAACAGAATTTCATGAAATCGTTTTAGATAATAAGGACATACTATTTAGATGTGCATATTGACAGGAAATTACGATTCAATTCTATTTCTAGGAGTTACGCTCCTTTGAACTTATTTGCATCAATGTACTTCTGACAGGATATTATGATTCAATTTTTTTTTCTTATACAATTTTATTTTTCTTACACTTATTTTATTTCTCCAATGACAATGTGGGGACGTGGGCTATGTGAGCACGCTCACTAAGGTTCTTTAATATTTTGTATGCCAGACACACATCTCATCTACAAAAAAAATTAAAAGGCTTATAAAGTACAAAGTTGAAGAGCATTGAGGACCCAAAATTTCAAAAGGTTTTACCAAATACAGCTAAGTTAATCCATTCCTTGGGTAAAAAATCCTTAGTATTTTGTACAATTCAAAGTTTTGTACACAGTAACTGTGACTTGACTAAGTGTTACTCTCCACTTAAGTTTAAACTATATTTATTCAGATAAATCATCACAAAACGATATGATACAATTGAAATAAATATTTAGAATTCAGAAACAAGCAAATTTGCTTTGCAAATCTGTCTCTCCACTTTTTGCAGTTTATTCAAAATTCTCATCCAATTGCAATTTGTTTTATCTTATACATGCTGCTATTGTAAAGAGTCATTTGAAAGGTGACAGTTAGATTTTTAACTGGATTTTCGAAAGTAAAATCGTTATTGATTTGGGGATGTACGGCGGGCTGCTGCCAAACAGTGTCCGTTTATTAACATGAAAACACTTTGACGAAATCTTTTCAAATTTAGATATGTTGTTTCCTGTGACTAGATGAAGGTCAAGTTCAATTTTCACGATTTTAGCTGTTCTCTTTGTTGAGTCGTAGACCTTTCATTAGCAAAAGTGAATTTTATTATATGATTTGAGTTATTTCCCTTTGAACAGAAATGGTGTAATTAATAAGTATTTCATCAAAAATTGAATTCTTGGGGTTCTTTGATATGCTGATTCTAACAATGTACTGAGATTTTGGATATTGGACCATAATAAGTAAATGTCCAATTTCAAATTTTTCAGTTCTTTGACCACATTCATTGTGTGTCA